AATGTAGAGTTGTAGAAAATACCTAAAAATAATTTTGAACACTGCCATTGTTTATTCTAGCCTACTTTTTATAGTATTTGGTGCATTACATTCTTAGAGACTTCAGAATATGTTTTATTAATGTTTTATAGAATGCCGACAAAAAAGAAGAAAAGCTGATATAAATATCTCTTCTACAAAGTATGTAGTATTTACATCAGTGTAAGCATAAATATTTCTAAAAGTCATGTTCTAAAACAAATCTTTAAAAAGATCCAACATTTTCATACAAGGTTAGAATACAAGTGTTTGATCAGCTAGGAAGCAGAAAAGCATGTGGCTTCACTGCTTATTCTTAGTAAAATGAGCAAAACTCAACAATTTCATTCTCCTTTGAGCTGAAGTATATTTGCCTTTAGCTCCTTTGTTACATGTTTTAAGCTTTAGGAAACAATATTTGTTTCATGATTTCCCTATATGAACATTGTTATTTGATAATACTAAGAGAGTGTATTTCCTTTAAGTTTTTATTTTAAAAATCTTTCTCTAAATTCTAAAATAAACTGCAAGCTTGAATAAAAGTCACCATTAAATATGCAAAGATTTAATCTAAAAGACATTGTAAATCTATTACTATTAATATAATTTTGTCAGACTAAAATATATTCATTATTAAATTCAAAAAATCATGAACATTATTGTTTCATGATTTTGATAGTGTAAGGAATGTGAAAAATACCCCCACTTAAATAGCTCTAGATTTGTCCCTTAATTTAACTTTATTATTTGAATTTCATCAAAAAGGAATGTTATGACTTGTGATATGTTTGTGTTATAAGCATTTTTTGAGAAATGTTCAGTGTCCTATACTTGGTTGTGAGGAAAACGTACATGCATCTCTCATATACACTTGGGTCAAACATAAAGTGACTTAAGTACTCTTTAGCCCTTTATCTAATATTGCTTAATAACTTATATTGTAACTTACTATTGCTCTGGCTAAGTATGATATTCATGCCATCATCAGACAGGAACTTTTCCTTTCATATTTCCTCTCTCTCTCAAGTCCTATAAATTGAGCAATAACCAGGAATTTTTATTGAGGCATTGAATAAGTGCTTTCTGTCAATTGGTTTATTCTTGTCAAACCTTAATTAAAATACTGATTAATTGGTTCTTAATCTTCTTGTTAAAATATTTACGAAGAATTTATTTTATGTTGGTATGAATTGCACCTTTTATATTGGTAAGGTATTTAGATTCATCAAAGTAATGAAATCTGTTCAGGATTTAAAATACTGTCACTGTTACTTGTTAAAGCTAACTATATACTTAACTTTTATTATAAAATTGTGGGAATTTTATATGACGGTAGTTGAATTATCTTAACAAAATTCATACTTTATGAGCTTAGAGTTGAAAAAGTATTAAATTAATCTTTCATAATTTAAAAATCTCTTTAATGGATTTGAGGTAGCCTAATAAATATGTGTTACCATTCTTTAAAAGCAGACAAGAAACATTCAAATCAAAACATAAGGTTCTTAAGAAATTAAAATTGGGATGGAATGGTAGAACACTGGATAATCTGATTTGCCTTGGTCATTTGCAGCAGCACGTGATATATGTTAAGTTTAAATTATTAAGAAATTATGCTAGAACAGAAAATTTTAAGAGCCTTGTCTGTAACTTATGACAATGCCATCTGAGATTGCCAGTGAACTCTGAGAACTCCTAGACACTGGCTCTCTTCTCTTCTGGCGTCCCTCCTAGTCATACTTGGCTACTGTCCAGAGCTGACAACTTTCACCCAGGAGCAAAGGGAGATTTGTCTAGTAGAAGAAGGATTTTTGAGTCATCCTAGATTTTCCTGTCCAGATGGGCAAGGAGGAGAGGTGACTATATCATTGTATATACTTAGGTGATGTCATTGTGGCACACATGCACTGTAACCATTAATTTATTCGTACTTGTGAATTCTGGTGTCCCTGTTCAAATATTCTTCACTGGAAAATTTAATGTAGGAATCTCAAAATTGATACAAAAACCATGTTCAAATTTATGTTTGATGACTTGATGCACATTCTTAACTGAAGACTGGAAGACTTCACACCTTTACTAATAAATAAAAACACTTAGAATCTGGGAGGATAAGAACATAGACATTCCGGTTTCAAGACCTCCACTCTAGTTATTATGCTAAACCTCTCTAAACACCACTGGTCATATTATGACAATTTCTTATCCACAGTGTATTCCTGCTGAAGTGAATTATGATTATTATGCTTTTAAGGGTTTTCTAAAGGCATTAATTTTATATTCTTTTACATAAATTCACCTACCTTTATCTAAAAGGCCATTTACTATTAATACTGTGACTTGAAGGATCTTGTGACAAGAATGGCTTTAAGGTAAGATCACATCAATGGACTAGACTTTTATGAATCTTGAATATATACAACTAATCACCTCTTTTTTAAACTTAAGAAAAATGCATTTATATGCCCAAGTATCTTTTTTACTTCTATAATAGCCAGAAGACTGAATGGCTTTACCATATAAATTAAAGGTTATCTCAGTCAGAAACTTGGATGTTATTCTTTTATAATTTTTACTACATTTAGTCTATAGATGTTCCCGATATCCCTATAATTTTCACAAATTTGCTTTCCACATTGTACAAACTTTTTTAAAATAGCTATACAGAAGGCAGTAAGATCACTGTTAAATGTAACTTCTTTTTATGGTAACATAATTGTTTATTCTTTAAGGTTTCATGAAAGCATTTAAAATTGATTTTAGTTCTTAGATAATTACAGTAATATAAACTTATGGGACTTAGACATTTAATAAGTAAAACATAAGTGAGTGAATGAATCTCTGAGAGATTTTGAAATCCAGACTGGACATCTAATTTTAAATTTGTAATTCATTGATTTTCCTCTTCAAAGTATATATTAATTTTATCACCTATAAACTATCTTAAAAAGATCTAGGAGATTGATAAATATTACAGTCTTTTAATGACTTATTAATTAATAGTAAGGTTAAATGAAAGTAGTAACTAAACAATATCAGATTAGTCGTTTAAATACACAGCACTTTTCATATATACTGCTAGAACGAAAATCAGTCCCATCTTTGAACCCTACAGTTCTAGTAACCATACAACTGAGAAAGCCCTTGAAGAGATCCCTGAAACCTTGAGTAGGTGAATTCTAACAAATACTGAATTTAACCACTTCATATTATTCAGGTACAAAGACCCAGTCTTTTATTTATAGACAAAAGTAAATCTGACCTTTTTGTTAAGAAATACTGTCAGGAGCCTTTATAAGAGCTTGCTCATCTGAGGGTCCGAGACACGAGTGCTCTGCTCAGTTGAATTTATACTAAAAATGAAATGATAAGAGCCTGCTGGTTATTATCCAAGATCCGTCCTGATGGGGGAACCACATGGTTTTTCTTCATCTCCCACTTGTTCTCACCCTTTACTACCAACACAGCCACACCCCACCCCCACCCCAACATTGTTCAGTACTCAGCACAATGAATCATTTTCAAGTTGACTCACTGTGAACTGTCTCCCAGCTGTTGGAATGTCTGGCAGACATTTTTGTTTGGGTGAAGAATAACTGGCTGAAACCCAACCTGGATGAGTTTGATATAATGGTCTTTGGCTAAAGAAATATTGAGAGGAACATGTTTACAGCCTCTGAGCCCCTGTCATTCCTGGAGTACTACCATCCCCTGTGGCAGCACAATGAAATTGGGGAATTGATCTGGATTATTTTCTCACCATCGACTGAAGAATTATCTTAGAAAAACATAGCCATTTCCAAATTATGTACTTATTCTTTACTTACTATACCCATCCAATCGAATGTTTTCAAAACAATTTTAAAAGGTACTCTCACTTGCCCTCTTTAAGACCATCAATTAAAATTCTGTATACAGGGGTTTCAAGTACTGCCTGAGATGTGACTTGACCAATCATTTCAGCAGAGTGTACTTTGTACTTTATTCTGAATCAGGTAGCATCAACCTGCCCTCTTTTACTTTTTATTCTTATGCAGTCTTTCTAAAAGGACTTAAGAGACAGAAGAACATCAGTACACTGAGTAGTCAGTCAGCTGTTAGAAAATGAAAATCTTTGGTTATATGTGGCCTCTAACAGAAGACACAGCATCTAATGGGCCAGCTTTCTTGACTGTTTTACATTTCCCATCCATTTCTTCAAAGACTTGTTTTTAAATGGTAGGTATTACTAGTATATAAAAGGAGAGTTTCAAAATTCCTAAATTTTACAAAAGTTTTACTATTTAACAGCTGTGGAACCATATACTTGGAACTATATTAATGTTTTAATCTAGCACAATGGCATTCTCAAGATGCATTGTTTAGCAGTGTTTCAGTTCATCTCAAGTTGTGTTGGGAAAGGAAATATAGGCTATTGGTCAAGTGCTAGTCATCTCTTCTTTCCCTTTATTGTTACTGTAGAGCCAAATGGCAGCATCTGGAATGGGAACTCTGAAGACTCCAGAGCCAGCCATGTCACAGACTCTTAGCTGGACCCTTCCATATTTCTAATATGTCGCAAAGCACCTCAGCTGTTCCAGGGCTGAGACCCAGTCCCAGCTGACAGGCAGCAGTGGGACTCTTGCCTTCTACTTTGTATAGTGTTGTCTACTCTTCTGAATCCCATTGTCTGACAGGTTCTCCGATGGACAAGGGGTAAAGTAACTTGAAAAATAATAATGTATAAGAATAAATGGACCTTACCCCTAGGTCAAATGTCTACCAATTTTTGCCTTCCCATCGTCTCTTTAAATTAGCGTAATATACCATGTGGATCAGACTTTTCAAACAAGAGCGTATTTTATTTAGTTTTCAAAATCCAGTAGCTTTAACTTTTATTTATTTATGTGTATTGTTTCTACTACAATTCATCAAGATGGCATAGTGGTCTGTAGAAAGTTTTATTCTAAATTTAACATGAATGTTCCATTTCTGTTTTACAGAATAAAGCAATTACTACTCGAGTGAGAAATCTGTCAGATATAGTAGTTGGTCTGGAATCTTTTATTGGTTCTGAGAGAGAAACAAACCCATTATTTAAGGATTTTCATGGTAAGCATAGTGTTTATCATGAAAGGAACATAACCTGACTTTTTGTCGCATACATCAAAGTATCCTCCTAGCTGGAATATCTAGAATATCTGCTATGAAGTAGTATGAATTTATTCCATCACACACCAGTTAAGCATTTTTCATTCCTAGTTAATATTACATTTCAACCAATCATCAAACTACACTCTGAAAACTGTTTGAAAGGCATCAAATCCAAGGTCTAGAACATGCCTTAGATAGACATTTTGTTGTACCAGTGGTTTAAAGTGTTTAAGAAATCAGCCATACTTATGAGCCATATTAAAAATAAATACAATACAAATGCTCCTAATTTCAAAAACCAAAATGTGAAAGGCATCTGATCCAAAGCACACTGAATAAGCTTAGCAACATTTTGTATAAAGTATAGAAAGTTTGTACTTTATTAAGCTTGCTGTATTGAAGGTGCATACTAGACTGAGATGTAGTTCAGTATAGAGCATTTGCACAAAAAGAAAAAGGCCTTGGGTTTGATCCCCCACATCACCTTAAAAAATAATAATGATGAAAAGTAAAAAATTTTAAAAGGAGGTGTACTGACTCATTGCTACCCTCATATAAGCCCAACTGAATTGATTGGACATTTTACTACATTACATTTTTTTCAGATTTTATTTTGTTGTTTTTGATGTTAGGGCCTTGTATATCTAAGTATAGACTCTATCACTGAAGAATATTACCATCTCCTATTTTTTTAAGCTTTTGAAATTACTTTAGTCATTCGAAAGATAGTTAATAAAGTTTTTTTTTCGCAGAGCTGTTTGAATAGTAAAAGTTTAATAGTTCTGTGTATCTTGGGCCTCAACTCAATTTAAAATGTAGTAAATAACAAATTTTAACTATGTATATATTCTAAATATGTTATTACTCTTTATTTTGAAATAACTATATTTTGATAACAATTTCCAGACTAAATATTCACAAGCTTGCTTAAAGTTTGCTACTTTTGTGATGAGACAGTTATTTTGTTTGTTGAAATAACAAGAGTCTGTATTTTTTTAAAGTATTAAACATAATAAATTACATTTTATAATTGCCCAGTGCTTTGAGGAGTCAGACTTTAGAAAATAATGTAATATCATAAGCTAACAAGTTTTTATAAGCTACAAAATACAAGTAGTGAACCACAGCTACTATTAGTGTGCCTCTTGATTGTTTATCTGGGTAAATGTGCATATGTTATATGCCCAGGTTAACCCTATTTCAGATTCATTTAATACATCCTTTTCACTGTGATATGAAAAGACCTAAGACAATATGAGTATTTTTAAATGTATTGTTATTTTTGTTTTCCTTTAAAACAGTTCAATTTAGATCTTACCTTAATAAATTATATTGTCATTTTTAAATTTTTGCTTACAAACAGTAAAAATTATGCTTTATATTCTAAAAATATTATTTTAAAACATTTCAAAGGTTGAAAGACTATGATTCTTTGTGCCAAAATCTCTGAACTGATAAATTATCTCCATAGCTTTCGATTATTCGAAAACTTTCTGTTAATAAGAAGGACCTGATGATAAAATGATTAGTGAATTCTTTAAGACCTCCTGACTTAATAATCACCTAACAAGCGCATGTACTATAAGGATAAAATGAGAAATGTACAAATAAAAATATGATGTGCTTATTTCTAATTGGCGTATTTTACTAAATAAGTATGTATCAGATTTTTTAATTGGTAAGAACTGTTTTCTTAATAGCATTTTTGACTTTTTAACTTTAAAAAAGTGTAGTAGGAATTTTTATGTTAGTGAATGACTTTTGAAGTTGTTTTTAACAGTTAAATACCTAGAGGTTTACACTTTAAAGCTAAAACTCAAACATAAATTAGTAAGCATTCAAACACAAAACTTGCAGTAGAGATGCAATTCTGTAAACAATATTTATTCAGATCTGAAATTTGCCACCTCTTACCCCATGTTCAGGGATCAGTGTCCCTGAAACCGTATTTTTAAGTATGAGCTGAGTCAGGCAAAGAGATGCACTGAAGAACTTGCATGTCTCCATCTGTGGGAAATGACCCCTAGTTTAGTCAGAAACTATACAAAAGCCATCCAGTGCCCTTGTCAGAAAAAATTAGCAAGTGTTTCTGCTGACAAGCAGCCCCAATTTCTCAGTCTGCCTAGCACTGTTGCAGAGCTTATAACATCTACGTAAAGGTCTAACATGCCATAAAAATGAGTGTCTCTGGTTGGCATACAGATTAATGTTTGCTCCTAGCTTATGCTCTGAAATGTGCTTTTCTTTGGTACTTTGTTCAAGTCATTAATAAGGCATAAAATGAAATACTTTTCTATTAGTGTTTTGCTGGTCATCAGTAACCTGAAAGCTTTTTTTTGCTGGCTGCTTATTGGTGCATTTAATAAAATAAAGATCACTCAGTGGTGCTGTGGGCAGCATGCAAGGTGATAGCCATATTTGCTTACTGTAAATACGAGAGAAAATCATACACAAACTGGCTGTCGTTTTGACAAGTATTAAGATCCCTTTTTACATCTGTACTTCTGTACCAAAGTGCAATTAGTTTTCCTTGCTCAAGGATTTCTGTTTATCTTATTCTGCTTGATTGCTTGAATATAATCACACCATTTGCTCCATTGCTCCTGGTAGTAAGCTCCAGTTTTAAAAGGGGAGGATGCTTGTGTGTAAATTTACAGTATTCTGATGTAAGACTTTAATTTATGCCTCTGATGACAGCATTTAAATATTTTTCTTTTAATTTCCTTTTCATGAGGTTTGATCCATATACGACAGATTCCTCGCCTTAATAACTTGACTTGTGATGAATCAGATGTCAAAGACTTAGCTTTTAAGTTAAAAAGGAAACTATTCACCATTGAGGTAAGAGAATTTTTATGTTTTAGTAAACTGTCTTGAAGTAAAGGGTATCCTCCCCATCTCCCCCCAACTTTTCACTCTAAGAAAACATCTAGGACATGTTTCAGTCTAAATATTAGGTACTCTGGGTGGAATAGTAATTTTTTACTATATTTTTCTTTCGTTTTAATATTGTATTATTATTTTGATATAGCAAAAAGTGTTTTGAATATCCATTAAAAGTAAGCTCTGAACTCAAATGATAAATATGGCATGCATATTTCCAAGGCTTTCAGAAGCATATTTAATTAAATGTTAATGAGCTGTGCTTAGAGTGTGAAACGGGAATGCTGCCCACAGCTGTATGTACCCAAGAGAAGTTTCTTGCCTGCTTTCTAAAGGTAGTTTTCGTTACTTATGGGGGAAATTAATTTTTTAAAATTTAAAAATGCTGAATTAGACAAAAAAAAGTATGATTTACATTAATGGCTATAAGTAGATTTTGTACACTTAGACTTTGTGTGACCTTTATGCAGGCAGCGATGACAGAAAGGAGCAGTATGAAAGAGTTCAGCTTAATGTTGCTAAAGAGCAAATGAATGTGGAGCTATTAAGCAATTACAGTTGATATATTTATGAATGAAGTAAGTGTTGAGAGAGAGAGAGATGGCTTTCGGGTGGTATGATAGTTAGCGGTGGAGTTGGTGCAATTTTTTTTTTTTTTTTAGCACAGACATAAAACAGCCAAACTGCCTTGACAAACCATTTTGTTTAATCTCTTTTCAAGTGAAAAGCTCTTAAGCAGGCCACTTGTCTTAACTGTTTGAAACCATAAAAAGAGAGAATTACCACCAATAAATTAGCATATTTTTAACTTCATCACCAAATGATGGTCAATGTGGCTTGGCACCGCTTTGGTGTTTGGGACTTCACCCTTAAGTGACCACTTTGGCCCTTTTTTGACCCTCTGCCCTCTTTAAGCTGGCCAGTTGATAAGGTAACTTAATGGTTCTCTCTGTTTTTCTCTTTCCCTTCACATTTGCAAGTAGCACTAACTTATAAATCATTGTAAGGGCCCTATCCAGTGACAAATTAATGTGCCCTCCTCCTAATTAATGGTCATCAATGTCCTTAATTATCTAATCCTATTGAGAGCAGTTAATAGTTAATCAGGCAGCCAGTTCTTCAGGCAGGTCATCCCTGCAGGATCCTAGAAGTTTCTCATCTGGGGATACTCCCTTCAAAAGCCACTTAAAGCCCAAAGAGGGTGTGTAGAAATAGAGGTTCTTGAGCTAATTTGCTTTAGTTCTCAAAAGAAACCATTGAAATGGAACCCTGACACTGTAATTGTTCAAACATTGTTTCAACTTTTCTGATAGTGTACTGAGTAATTTGCTGTCATATTGCTTAAAACATTTAGAGAGATAGATTATAATTTTTATTGCATGCTTGTATTTTTTTATTTTAAATTATTTAATAACTACATACTTAGAAGAAGCATTTCATTACATCAGCATTGACATATTCAATAACAATTTTCTGAGCTAGGATGCATATTTTTAAGTTGAATTTATATTTCAAATGAAATGTGTGAAGTTTTCTTCCCTTCTATGTGGTGTGCTTCTTTAAAGTCAGTATTCTTGCAGCCAAGCCCAGGGTATCATTTCTATTACATACAAATTAAGCAAGGGGGATTCCTTAATGAAGAAAAAAAAATCATTTTGCTCAAAAAAGTAGTGTAGTAGTATGAATCCTGTTTATGAGCTCTCTCTCTTTTCCACTCTGTCTTAGGGGACATGGGACAGGAGAGGGACCTACATGATGTCAGGTGGGCCCTCGCCTTTGAATAGCTATAGGTTCTACTAGAGACTTCATTTTGCCACTGCAGCCACTAAGAGATTTTTTATTAACCACATGGGCTGCTACCCATTTTCCCCCTCCTTGCAACTTCACAAAACTAAGAGAATTGGTCACCCTGTGGTTTGGAAGCAGTATTTGAAAATGAAACAGAAATAAAGTCATTTTTTAAAGAAGTTAATATTCAGACAATCAAATCCTTTGTCTTCTTGGTTTAACCTAATCAGTAAGGATTTGAGGGGTTGTTAAATAAAAATGCAAGTGGGAGGGTGCCATCTGGGAAGTGGGTATATAGTTGAATAAGATGGTGTGGGATGTTCTGTGTGATATATATACACAAAAAAAATAAAATTTTAAAAAATGAATTATATTTGAGGAGGAAGCATAAAAATTCATGTCATGTTAATTAGTAGAGGTGATAAACATTACCATTGAAATCTACCCGATGACTTTATAGACATACACTGGCACCAAGGATCCGAGTGCAACCGATTATGACTAGTAATAATCAGATACAGATTAGAGACGCAGGCACCAATATCTCAATGTTATTAGCAAAAACAATGAGTCTTTCTCTAAGAAACAGTATATTTTAAAATGAAATGGAGATCTTTTTTAAAAGTTAAAAACTCATTCAATTTTCTGTCTTACAGGGCTTATACTGAGTTCAATATTGTATAAATGTATTAACTCAACTGTGAACCTAGAAACTTCCACCCACCTGTGAAAGAGATGCACTCTTGCTCTGGAGTATTATGCTGTCATATTTACTAAATATGTGGCTCAAAACATAAATTACAAAGCAAACCTAATGGAAGTACATAAATGTTTTTAATAGTGTAACACTTTTTTAAAAATAAAATGTGAACTATACTTGTCTGAAAAGTCCAAGACTATAATATTCCAGGCATTGAATCAGAATGTTACTTTCAGAAGCAAAATGTAGCTTCACAAGTAAAACAGAAATAACTTTTCTGATTCCATGCAGGCCAAGTTATTACATATTGGAATTTTCTGTCAGTCATATGGGTTTCAAAAGAGGAATGAATGGAGACAAAGAGCAAAAGAAATGGGGGTTAGAATATGTTTTTAAAAGTATATTTAGCCACTGGCCTTTTTACATTGGAAAACTAATTCTTTCCTAACAATTTACCAAGGGCCTCTAACAAGTAGAGCAACTGTAGAATTTTCTAACTTTGAGTGACTTGAAGAAGACAAAACAATATTTTTTCCTTCTTGGAGTACATATTGGTTATTGTCTCATTCAAGAGAAAGCATTAATCATAATAAATTATTATGATTGCCTATAACTATAAAGCTCCATAAATTAGCCCCTGTACAAAAACCATAGCAGAATCCTATCTGAAGCAGGGACACTGAAATCCTAGGTGATGACATGGAGTCCTAAGTAGCTATCCACTACACTCTCAGCAGGTATGAAATATATGCTGGAATTTATGCTGCATGCAGAAATCATAAATGCAATTTTTAAAATTGCCGAAGATGTATAGCTATAAATATTACATAGCTCCACAGTATTTATAACTCTGGTATGTGGCCTCACTACTGAACTGAAATAACAGCATAAACATAGGTTCTTTTCAGTTTTTGCTGTTTTGTTTTTCTTTGATAATGTTGATATTATCGTTAACCAGTTTTTTCTTTATAATTATAACATATAGGCAAGTAGATTTGGTAAGATTTGATATGTAGCTGCATTTAATTTGATGACATCACAGAAACACTGTTTTCACTTAAAATTAATATTATTTTGATTTTGTATTTTCCACGTTCACTTTTTCCTGTTGTAATTTTCTAACAAATAGTAATACAGTATTACATTAGTTGCAGCATCTATAAAATTATTACAAAAAATTTCCTCCTTATTGGACAGTTTTGTATCTTGAAGAATCAGTGTTTCTAAGTTCAAATCAGAAAATATAGTAACCAAGTCATGTCAAAGTTTATAGAAGACACATCCTGTAACTACAAAGTTTCAGTGACTAGGTTTGGAAGGAAAGTTGTGCAACCTTGAACTGGTCTACCATCATGGTTATCATAAGTAAATATTGAGAGCAGAATGTGTCAAAATAAATGACACTTATTCAGGATTATCTTAGGATACTTTGCACCCAGTTCAGAATATAGCCCCTTATTATCCAGTCACCAAGAATTTTTTTCTCACAAAATAATTGACCAATCATTATAAAGTAGCTGTTCTTGATGTACTTAATAGATTCATTCTTAACTATTAAGATCAGAATTATATATGCTATTGGTATAAATTAGCTTAATAATAATGTGATAATATAACTTGATACAGCCCCCATAGAATTAATTATCTGAAATGTTTTCATTTTGGAAAGCATAAATTCTCCCAGGCTACTAGTTACTGTGATAGTGTTTAACATTTTGGGTTATTTCATTGTACCCATAGTTGTGTATTTACTCTCCACATTTATTATCTATTAGCATTTCAAATTTTATAATGAGAAGTAGGAGAGTGAAATATATTTAATATATCCTGAGAAGAGGAGAAAGAGGGTTAACTTGCTTGTCATTTTTGTCACTGAAATAAAAGAATAGAATCATAAATGTCTAGCATGGAAGCCTTTTTAAATTGTCATAGGCCATATAGTCTAATGTATCTTTCTGATAACAGTGTCCTCCATAAGTGTTAGTTGCTATTGAAATTGGTTTTTATTCATAGGTATACTGCAGATAGCAAAAATAAAACATTGAATATAGGTGCATACTTATTTAAGTGAAATGATTTGTCAAAAGTACACCTGGGGCAGGGAGGTGGCTCAGTGGTTAAGGTACTTGCTGCACAAGCAAACTCAGCACAAACATAAGAGCCATATATAGCTGAGCATGCCTTGTAACACCAACCCTGAGAGGGCAGAGACAGGCAGGTCCTTGGAATCACTGGCCAGCCAGTCTAACCAAAACGATGAGGTCCAGGTTCAGTGAGAGAACTTGTCTCAAAAAATAAGATGGGGAAGGATTGAGGAAGATACTTGACAATAACATCTGGCGTCATGCACAGGTGAACACATACACATGCACACACACACAAACACACACACACATGGAGAAATTAACATTGTAACAATGGAATATAATTTTTATAAGTTCTCTTTTTATGTATTTAATGTATCAGTATA